GCTCTTTCTCAAAAAAAAAAGAAAACTGATCCCTGACCCCTGCCATTGTTAAACATGGTCTATAGCTTAGCTGCTTCTGCAGAGTTGAGTAGTTGAAACAGACTTCACAAATTGGAAAATATTTACCATCTGGTCCATTATCAAAGAAAGAAGTTTATTGACCTAATTTAGGGTTTTTTTCTTATTAAGTCATACATACATAGATCATGAATACATTTATGCCTTTGTGGGATTTAATGTGTTGATTATTTGTACAAATTAGAGTGCTTACATCCTACTAATTAACATAGCTTTCACTTCATTTACTTAATCACAGTGTTAAGACATTTGTGTTCAATACTTGATAGATTTAACTTGTACCCTTGCAATATGCTCCGTAGGTGTGGTCCCACCATTAACTCTCCCTCTATTGAACCACTCCTCTCCCTTCCTATCCCATTCCCCTTCCCTCCTTCAGGCACACGGTCTATAGACACATGAAAAAATGCTCATCATCTTTAATCATCAGAGAAAGGCAAATCAAAACCACTTTGAGATATCATCTAATTCCAGTAAGAGTAGCCTACATCACAAAATGCCAAAACTATAGATGTTGGCGTGGATGTGGAGAGAAGGGAACACTTCTGCGCTGCTGCTGGGAATGCAAGCTAGTATGTTCCTTTTGGAAAGAAGTTTGGAGAACGCTCAGGGATCTAAATGTAGACCTGCCGTTGTATCCTGCAATTCCTCTACTAGGTATATATCCAAAAGACCAAAAATCACTTGGCAACAAAGATATTTGCACCAGATTGTTCGCTGCAGCTCAATTAATAATTGCCAAGTCTTGGAAGAAGCCCAGGGGTCCATCGACTCATGAACGGATTAATAAATTATGGTGTATGTATACCATGGAATACTATGCAGCATTAAAAAAAGATGGAGAGGGTGTCACCTGTGGCTCAAAGGAGTAGGGCGCTGGCCCCATATGCTGGAGGTGGTGGGTTCAAACCCAGCCCCGGCCCCCCTACCCCCAAAATGGAGGCTTTACATGGAGTAAAAATGGAGTTGTTTATGTTTACATGGATGGAGCTGGAAAATATTCTTCTTAGTAAAATGTTTCAGGAATGGAAAAGAAATATATCCAATGTACTCAGTACTACTATAAAACCAATTTATAATCACACCTTCATATGAGAGATGAATCACAACTATTAAAAAAGTTTAACTGTGGTGGGCGCGGTGGCTCACGCCTGTAATCCCAGTACTGTG